AACATGCTATTGTGTGAGGTTATATAACCTCACACAATAGCATGTTACAATTCTCAAAGTGCTTTCACACAGATCACTTTCTTTGAAGATTTCATTCCGATCTCCCAATGGAAACAAAGACAAACAGGAAAGACCAACAGTCTGCAAGGCAGCTGAATCTGCTAATGATTTTGAACAGTTCTGCAGGCTCCACAGAGTTGGAGAAATGAAGACAGAAATGCTAAGACTTGTTGGTTGACTCGTCCAAGGTTAGAAGGCAACAAGGTCCAGACCAGAGCCCAAGGTTTTTATTAAACACTATACAATATTTGCACAGTGAAGATGCTGCTTTAGCCACTAATGAGCTTTATGGACACAAACAAACGTATCACATACACAGGGCAAGTACTCCTCCTTTGGCAAGGCTGCCACATAATCTTTTAAAAACTCAGGAAATAAAAAGCCATCTCTTCATTAAATATCTGCACTACACTCAGGACAGCCTCAGACCAAAGCTAAAGCTGATTTTGAGTCATCTGCAAAGGTGTGTGTTTTCACAGCAGCAGTACCAATAAGTAGTATCCCTCAATAGCATGATGGGCTGTTTCCACCAAAGCTACCACTGAGAAAACCCCATCTCTCAAGCCCACTTCACAAAGGGAAAACATGTCTAGGATTCTTGTCCTACATTTGTTTTTTAATCTAACTTATGCCCCACCTTGTTGCAAAAATATTTAAAGCAGGCTGGGCGTGGTGGCTCACACCTGTAATTCCAGTACTTTGGGAGGCTGAGTGGGGGAGGATCACTGGAATTCAGAGGTTGGGTGCTGCAGTGAGCATAATTTCAGCATAACACTCCAGCTTGGGTGATAGAGTGAGACTCTGTCTCAAAAAAAAAAAAAAAAAAAAAGTAAGTAGGAGTAGTTAGACAATTCTCAATTATTCAAGATGGTTTTTCAATGTATAGATTTGCATATTTTATCTACTCCAGTTTTGTTCCCCCTCCCATCCCTACCTCACAAGTGTACAAACATCTATAATCCAGATATAAATTTGTAATATTCTTCATATGGTCAAACTCAGGAAAAAAGGCACAAGGCAAAGTAAAATTCTACTTAATCGCATACATAATTCCTTTCCTATTAGCACCTACGATGGGCCAGGTTTAGGTGGGCTCCAGGTTTATGGAGATGTCAAATAGGCAGGAGAGCAGTGTGAAAAAGTTAAAGACTGGGGATGGGAGGGTCCTGCTGATGGAAAGCATGTATTTCACTCTATCCTTCCTGCATCTCAAACTAAGTCTGTGACCCTGGAATCACTTGTCCAGGTCTCAACGACTCTGTCAAAAAAAGATCATATTGGGAAAAGCAAAGAGGTCTGGAAATGGAAGTACTTTGGCTTCATCATGTAAGAGATCATTTTAATGTGGACAATCCTTCTCTGAATTATCCAGTAGGGACTAGTTCTGCAGGATAAATAGTTTGTTTACCAGATCCTGGCCAGCAAGAACAAGCTCACTCCCTGATTCTCCAGGCAGCACCATGGGTGCCTCTTTAAGATAACAGCCCTGAAAATGTTTTCAGTTTAGAGTAAACATGGTTAAGGTGCTTTCTCTCTTTTCTAAAGACATAAACGATTTTTTGATTTTTTTTATTTTTATTTTTGAGATGAGTCTCGCTCTGTAGCCCAGCCTGGAGTGCAGTGGTACAATCTCTGCTCACTGCAACCTCCACCTCCTGGTCCCAGTTCAAGAAATTCTCCTGCCTCAGCCTCCTGAATAGCTGGGATTACAGATATGCGCCACCACACCCAGCTAATATTTTCAGTACAGATGGGGCTTTACCTTGTTGGCCAGGCTAGTCTTGAACTCCTGACCTCATGATCTGCCCACCTCGGCCTCCCAAAGTGCTGGGATTACAGGTGTGAGCCACGGTGCCCAGCCAATATTTTAAGTTTTTTTTTTTTTTAAGTTGAGACAGGGTTTCACCATTGTAGCCAGAATGGTCTCAATCTCCTAACCTTGTGATCCTCCTGCCTCGTCCTCCCAAAGTGCTGGGATTACAGGCATGAGCCACCTCGCCTGGCCCCGATTTTTTTTTTGAGTTTTTAACAGAGGGCTTTCCTACTCTGAGCTATTTCACTAATGAATGGTAAACTACTTTACTATTGTCTTTTTAAATATTCAGCATATTACCTGACCCAGAACATTTCTGAGATCTGAACCACATTCTTCTCTTGCATACTAGTTGTCACTGTCAATACACATGTACAATCATAACAGGATAAGCTACAACCCAGACAAACCATCAGCCTATAAAAAAGGCTAAACCATAACCTGCTTTTCAAGCCCCCACCCCCTCCCCACCCCTGCCAGTCATAAGACCTATCTAAGTAACCTGACAATGGGAAAATCCATCTTAGGTGGGCCCAGGTATCACAATCCCAAAGACAGGAGTGGAGCAAAATAGGTTTTAAAGGATTGTCGCAAAACTGAAGATTCTAGAGCTAAGGAGAGTCTAAACAACCATGTTCAGTGCCCAACTACCTGAAAAATGAACTCCAGGGAAACTTTGTTGTTGTTATTCCCCGCTCCCCCAGCTCCCCTAGCTCCCCACCGCCCAGGGAAACATTTTATCCTTAATATTCAGGAGCAATAATAAAATATTTTGGCCACTGTTCCCTAATGGATTCCACAAGGCACTCAATTCTCATTTCAGGCTTTCAAAATGCTTGCCCTGGAAAGTGTCACTTGATGGTTCACACACTCCTTGAGGATTAGGTGCTAACCCTAATTAGGCACAGGCAGAAATAGTTCAAGAATCCACATGCTCAGATTCATAACTATACTTTTTTGTAAAAAATAAAAACATTAAAAAAATGCCTTCTGGCTGGGCAAGGTGGCTCACGCCTGTAATCCCAGCACTTTGGGAGGTTGTGTTGGGTAGATCGAGTGGTGAGGCCAGGAGTTAGAGACCAGCATGGGCAACATGGTGAAACACCATCTCTACTAAAAATGCAAAAATTAGCCAGGAGTGGTGGCGCTGGCCTGCAGTCCCAGCTACTTGGGAGGCTGAGGCATGAGAATTGCTAGAGCCCAGGAGAGGCTGCAGTGAGCTGAGATAGCACTGCTGCACACAGGTCTCCCCAGCCTGAACAGAGAGGCTCTGTCTCAAAAAAATAAAATAAAATGCCTTCTAGTGATGCTTAGAAGTCCAAAAACCAGGTAACTATGGCTTCCACTTCCATTTTTCAGATATCCACTACAGTTCTATTCAACTCCAAAGTGAATTTTATTGTCCACACAAGCAATTTCACAACTCCCAGAGTCCAAGCCTACAAGACCCTTCCCACCAGGTACTTTACCAAAAACGGGCTTTATCTCCATCTTCCTTTCTGTCACAGGTAAAAAACTGCCTTTCCTAATTAAGCCAACCTACTTCTTTTTTCTTTTTTTGGATGGAGTCTCACTCTGTCGCCCAGACTAGATTGCGGTGGCACAATCTTGGCTCATTGCAATCTCCGCCTCCCAGATTCAAGTATCCTCCTGCCTCAGCCTCCCAAGTAGCTGGGACTAAAGGCACATGCCACCATGCCTGGCTAATTTTTTTTACATTTTTAGTAGAAAAGGGATTTCACCATGTTAGCCAGGATGGTCTCCATCTCCTGATCTCGTGATCCAACGGCCTTGGCCTCCCAAAGTGCTGGGATTACAGGCATGAGCCACCGCGCCCAGCCAAGCCAGCCTACTTCTTACCTCAATAAAATCCTTGTTTTTCAATAGCACGTACTGTACTTCCAGTGATGAACAGTAAACTGCCTTTCGTCTCACACAGTAAACTCCATGAAAAACATCCACTTTGTTCTTTACTGCATATTCCTGGTATGCTAACTGCATAATCACGGACAATTTTAAGTAACTGAATACTCAGGCAAAGAAAGGCAAGAGGGCAAATAGCAGGATACAGGAGACCAATGCTTTTCAAGCTTTTCTCACTGCTAACTACAGAAACACACTGTAGAACACCTACGATACACTCACACGTGTGTGTACACCTGATGCAAATGTCAAGAAACAAGACTCTAAGTGCAACACCATCTGATATTTTCTATTTCATTTTTTTAAAGGCCGTGATCTAATTTCCAACTCACCAATAGGATTCACTTTGAAAAACACTGCAAATAAATCAAACCTTACAGTTGCATTCCGAAAGCTACTAAAGATCCCTTGAAAAACCAGCATACAGCAGAGAAGCTGACCAACTATAAGATCCAAACTCGCCAGGTAGGCAATGTCCTTCCGTCCAGCAGTGGCAGTTCCCAGCACCAGCCGCCCTGGGAGTTAAGTATCTCCCTAACTCCCAGAGTTTCCCAAGTACCCCAAGATGTCTGTCATATACCCTGTTAACCTCTTTATAAATTCAGTCCCATCCATCTCTTATGGTGGCAAAATTCATTTATCGTCCGCTGTGGAAAGCATACTTCCTTTTTGTCCCCTCCAGGAACGAGAAATTAAAATACCAAGTTGGTGCCCGTTGTGCCTTTGTGATCTTATTTGTGTGGGTGATACATAGAAATCTGAGTCTCAGTCTCTCCATCTTTCCAGTCTTAATCACTGGCAGAAGCAGTCTCCAGTGAAATGAGAAACCAGGGAACCCCCTGGCCTGGGGGAGGGCGCACTCATCAGCGTGACAGAGTGAAAGCAAGAACTCACTCCACACACCACAGCGGCATCTGGCTAACTCATCTCCAAATCCAAGTTGTGAAAGGGGAGGGCGGCGCGGAGAGTGCAGGAGACGCGCCGGAGTGACCTGCGGCGGCTGAACGCAGCCCGACCTCCCCAGTACTGCTCTGCAACCCCGGGAAAGCAGGTGAGCGCAAGCCGCGGACTGAGGAGTCGCAGAAGCCGCCCATGGAGAGCAGAAGGAAGGAGAGTCCGAGTCATGGGCCTCCCCTCCCCGTTGGGACCCCTCCCACTGACCCTCTCCCCCAAAGGGCCCACAAGCCTCCCACTCTGGCCTCTCCTCACTCACCCGGGGGAGTGGGCCTCCCCTACTGGAGAGAAAGGAGGAGGCGAAGGAGAGAATTAGGGGCTTGACGCCCACCACCGCCCCCCGACAAACCGCTCTCGCCACCCGGGAAAATCCCGCAGCGGGACCCACCGGCCAAGCGCCGCCTTAGCCCCACGCGGCCTCCCCTCAGCGCCTGCGCTACAGGGCCAACGCGGTGGACGCGATCTGAGAGTGCGCGCGCGCGCGCGCCTTGCGTGCGCCGGCGTGGGGGGCGGGCCCTGCGGAGCTCCGCCCCCTTCTCCTCCCTCCTCCCGCTCCCCCTCCCCCATACACTGCCGCGGCCGCCGCAGGAGCCCGGAGCTCGAGCCGCCCAGTGACTCCCCCTCCCCCTCCCCCAGCCCCGCCCCGCCCCAACCCGGGGCTCCGAGCTGGAGCCGAGTCTGCGCCTGGGGGTGAGTACGCGACCCCTCCCCTGCCCTCGCTCTTTTCTTCGAAGATCTCACCACCACCCAAAGAAAAAACCTGGACTCAGCTGCGCGTCCCCTCCCTTCAACCTCCTGCGGGACCCAGAGGTGCCCGGGCCCGCGGGACTCAGCGGTAGTGCGCGCTGCCCCCAACCCCGCACCATCCCAAGCCAAATGTGAGTCCTCCACCGGCTGCCGGAGGTCCAGATACGCGCCGCCCGCTCTCCCTAGCCCCGGGGAGATCCCAAGGGGTGGGACCCCCGCCCCCGGCCCCCGAGTGCCACTCTTCTCCCACCTGCCCGGTGCAGGTGCGCGTCCCCAGAGCGCCCCTCGGGGGTGTCAGCTGCGCCCCCCCGCCCGCTGCCGCTGTAGAGAACTAGCGGCCCCCGCCCCCGAGTTTTGGATCCCGGGGTCGCCAAGTCCGATGCCCTCGATCTCTTTTATCTTTTCTGCTGCTCCCGGGGGCTAGTACACCCAAAGCCGGCCCGGGGAAGGGGCTCGGGCTCGGGCTCGGGTTCCGGCAAGGGCAGGGTTCGCAGGTGCTGGCACGAAGCCGGCCGCTGCCCCTGGCCAGTCTGGGGACTGACTGGTCGGCGGGCTGGGGAGGCGGCCGGACCCAGGAGCGTGTCCTCTCCTTGCGCCCCACACAGTGCAGTTCATTCATGAGCCAGCCGCCCGGGCCTGCGTTGGAGGGTGCGGTGGGGAAAAGATTCAGACACGGAACCGAGAGTGGGGCAAAGGCCCTGTTGGGGGGAGGGGGCGCCGCTTTGTCACTCTTGGCTGTCTTGACTGTTTAGGGGGAACAGTCCCAAAGCTTGGCGTCTTGTTCCCCAGAAAAGGAAAGGACGCCTGGGAAGTGGGGAGGAGAGGTCAGAGGGGCTGGCTGCCCTTGGGGCTCTGTGCTGCCACCTGCCTGGGTCCCCTAGGCAGAGGTCTGGCCGCTCAGGACAAGCCTGAACACTCCACTGCTCTAGGGGCTGGGGCTTCCCTACCCAATACCGGTCTGCAGCAGCTGGGGAGCAATGAGGCTGTGTGTGCCCGACACCTGCTGACGAGGGGCCCTGCCTCCCACGCCAGGGTGAGGAGGGGAGTGGGAGTGTGCTGGCAGCATGATTGTCCTCCAGGGCACCAGAGGGTCCAGGCCCTGGCATGCCCCAGGTGGCACATGCTGGGGCCTGCTGTTGGCTCACTCAGTGCAGTCTCAGCCTGTGGGTGGGTGGGGACGTGGCAAGGTAGAAGGCAGGCGGTGGGTAACTAAGAACCCCCTTTGGACATCATACAAGTTCCCTTCAAGTATAGCAGAGTCTTAGAGACCTGGGTTCAAATTCTACCTCTACCATTCTTCAGCTATGTGACCTTGACAAGTTACTTAACCTGTCTGAACCTCAGTTTCCATTAAAAAACTGTTTAAGCCTGTAATTCTGGCACTTTGGGAGACTGAGGTGGACAGATCACCTGAGGTCAGGAGTTCGACACAAGCCTGGCCAACGTGGTGAAACCCCGTCGCTTCTAAAAATAAAAAAAATTAGTCCCACGTGGTGGCACACACCTGTAATCCCAGCTACTCGGGAGGCTGAGGCAGGAGAATGGCTTAAACCTGCGAGGCAGAGGTTGCAATGAGCCGAGATTTCACCACTGTACTCCAGCCTGGGTAAGACAGTGAGATTCCGTCTCAAAAAAAAAAAAAAAAAAAAATGTGTGGTTACTACCACCTCTTTACAAGGTTTATCATGGGGATCAAACAGACAAGGTAACAGAAGTAAAGAGCTTGGCATCCTGCCTGGTAGTTGATCAATAATGGGTTATCGCCTCTGAACTTCTGACCCATCATTCTCCCATGCCCCTACCTCCCAGGCTGCTGCAGATGGATAGGGTATGTTTGAAGAGTGAGACTATTTCATGTCACTCAGTGGTCTAGTCCCTAACACAGTGTAAATTTAGGTCTAAATAAGAAGCCCAACATGACTGAGGGACTCTGTCGCATTTCTATCCTGTTAAATTCTGTGTTTTTATCTTATTTCTATTTTTACCAATTTTCTTTCTCTAAATCAACCCCTTTTATTCCACACCTTATTAATAACAATAGCTAATTTCTGGAGCCCCTTATATGCCTTGAACTATATTAAGAGTTTTACGTAAGTCATCTTGTTTAATCCCCAGAACAACGACACAACTGGATTATTGTCCTGTTTTACAAATGAAGAAACTGAGGCCCAGGGTGACTAAGTAATTTGTCCAGGTTAGAAGCCTGGTCTGTCACATCCTAGAGTCTGTACTCTTAACCATCAGACTATGGTGCCTGTCCCCTACACCTACCTCAGAACCTGAAATCACAAACCCAAGGCTTGAGTGGAAGAAGGCTACAAGCAAGAGGAAAGGCAAGCAGGTAGAAATAGGGTAAGGCATTTCTCCAGAGTGGTAACTGGCTGCCTCTGGCTGCCTTGTGGAAGTGGCTCTTCTGTTTGCAGATATCTCTGCAAAGTGTAGTGGTTAACAGCTCACACTTGAGCCAGGCAGCCTGGGTCCATATCTGGGTCTACCACAGACTGGCTGTGTGACCTTAAGCAGCTCCCATAACCTCTCTGTACCTCAGTGTCTTCCTGGGGTTGTGATGGGGAACAAATGAGTTATATTTGCAAAGTGCTTAGAACAGTGCTTGACACAAAAGAAGAGTTAAAAAAACATTTAATACATGTGTTATTTTACTACTACTTTTTTTTCTTCTTTTTCTGTTTTTCTTTTTTCTTTTTAGACAGGGTCTCTTACCTGTCGCCCAGGATGGAGTGCAGTAGCACGATCTCAGCTCACTGCAGCCTGGAACTCCCCGGGCTCAGGTGATCTCCCACCTCAGCTCCCAGAGTCTGGGACTACAGACGTGCGCCACCACACCCAGCTAAATTTTAGCGGGGTATCTTTTGTAGAGTTGGGATTTTGCTATGTTACCCAAGCTGGTCTCGAACTCCTGGGCTCAAGTGATCCTCCCACCACAGCCTCCCAAAGTGCTGGGATTACAGGTATGAGCCGCTACCATGCCCAGCTTTTTTTTTTTTTTTTTTTCCCCCTCAAGGCAAGGTCTTACTCTGTTGCCCAGGCTAGAGTGCAGTGCACGATCATAGCTCACTGCAGCGTCCAACTCCTGGGCTCAAGGGATCTTCCCTACTCGGCCTCCAAAACTGCTGGGATTATAGGGGTGAATCACCCTACCCTGCCTACTACTACTTTTATGCTCACTTGTAGACACATTATTACCTATCCCTCTGAAGCGGGTAGAAGGTAGAGTAAGGATATTCGTATCTCTTTATTACAGATTGGAAGACTGAGACTCACGTTACATTTAAGTAACAGCTAGTTTCCATCTTCACCTCCTCTCCTCACACCACACGGCCTTGCTTTGATCCCAAGCCCTAACTTAAATCTTGTCCAGTAACTAAAAAGTGTATAATTTGGCTGGGTGCAGTGGCTCACACCTGTAATCCCAGCACTGTGGTAGGCTGAGGCGGGCAGATCATGAGGTCAGGAGATCAAGACCATCCAGGCCAACATGGCAAAACCCTATCTCTACTAAAAA